TACCCACACAAACAGCAAGACAAATATAGGCATATTTAGTTCTAACAATAGCTGTGTTCCTCTAAATTTGCATTTAATCAATTGCTGGCAAATCAAATCATATTTTTAGTATATGGAGGTGGCATGCTATTTAATGAAAATTTTCTAATGAATTTAACCACTAACCTCCTAATGCATCTGCCTTTATAACTTTGGGTTTTTTAATAATGAATTTTGGTAAAAGAGTAATTCATGTTGTGTAAGTGAAGTCATATTTTAAATATCTAGAGGGTCATTATTTTTAAAACGTTACCTTATCTTGAATCCTTCTATGTACCTGTCTGTCTTCTGGTTCATGTCATTATTTATCCTCCTGATGAATTTTGATTTTTATAAATCAGTTTAGTTTTTCTGAAAATAGGGCACAGTTGGACTACGCTGTCCTACAGAGCCGCAGAGTAGGGTAATCAGTTAATTCCCGCAGCCTCTGGGAAGACTGATGAAACACAGATATCTGTGTACTACAGGCCTCCTCTCTGACCTTTTCTCTTCCTCACGTGCAGGCTAGTTTTCAGTGGTGCAAAATGTTTCCAGTAAGTCACCCTATCTTGAGGCTTGCTAGTACTTTCTTCAAGATACATTTTATGAAAAGATATGAAAAATAATTTAACTAGTGTGGGAGACCGTTCTGAGTGGCGTGGGCCCAGCTCCCACTCAGAGATGCACAGGACCCACGCCCACAGATAGGTTTTCCTGTGGGGTATCAGGCCTGCAATGTGCCTAGGCCGCTTTGAGTCTTGCTCTTGCTAAAAATCTCCCTCACCCTGAATGGAGGACATTTACTGCAAAGCAACTTCCTAAAATCCATGCTAAACCTTCCAAGGATGAGTGTAACGGGTTCAACCACTTTTGTCTTTTCATTTGCAAACATCCCTCTTCTGTGATGTGATTGGTGGCATTGGCTCCTTTGTCTTCTGTGAAAGGTAACCACCTAAAGCAAACCTGTGCATAGTAAATGAGGACCATCACGTAATGTGCCGAGAAACTCAATAAAGGCTGGTCATGTAAAGGGCCAAGGCTTTTTGCTCCCCTTGAGAGAAAAGCCATGCTGTCCCTTTTCCTCCACTGGACTTGGTAGTCCGTGTGAATGCCTCATTTCATCCCTAATGATGCGGACACTGCAGGCTGGTGTCTGCATCAAACTAGCAGTAAAAAACCAGCAATAGTAACTTAAAAAACATAGATTTATTATAACTAGAAGGACTGGCATAAGAACAATTATTAAACTTCTTGTTAAGCCTGGAGTGTATTAGTGAGAACAAACAGACACATTCCACTTTTCCACTCTTGTATCTTCCTCTTCAAGCATAAAGAACTCTGTATCATCTCTGATCTCTTCTATAAAACCTTTAAAATGCTGTCAGACCACCTTTCCCTGAGCCCCTTTACCACCTTCCCTCCCTGATGTGCAAGTGTGTTCAGGTATACACACACACACCTCTGCCACACTTTTGTGCTTGGATCTGTACCTCATTTCCACTGAGTTTTCTAGGTAGGTGGTGTTCATGTTCTCCATTGCACCAGTGCGGAAACCATTGTTATCGAAGGCATTTTCTTAGACTTCTGATATTGAAGTTAGATGCTTGAAGTTTTGGAAGTATTGCAACTGAGATGAGAATCTTTTCATCTTTTTTTTGCTTCTCTAGCTTTGTGTGGGCTTAAAGGTAGCTCTTGAAGGACATGGATGTTCCCCAGAGGGGAAAGGCAATAATTTAATAGCAAAAGCCAAAGAGTTGACCCTCTGAACTCTGGTTTCAGTCTCCTGCTTATCCTGTGAGGCATAATTAAGGGCTGGAAATTCTGGGTTCTGGGTTCTTATTTCTTGAATGGACCGTCACCTATTTATATAGTTTTTTTTTTCATACTTAAGAGCTTGCAAACTTCCTCTTTTCAGGGACTGTTTAGGCCTTACCTAGGCTTTGGAACTCTTTAGTAGTTCTTTAATACTGTGTAGGAAAAGGGACAGCTGCTAGATTGATATGGCCTACTTCCTGTAGATGACAATTTCCTCAGTGTACACAGCTGATGGAAATGCTTCTGGGTCAATGTGACCAGAAGGGAAAGATACTCCCTCTACACCCAACCCAGCTCCCCAAAAAGTCAGACTGCAAAGGATAAGACATTTCCCACTGCACTGAGGCCTAGGGAATCTTTTGAAGTAAAAAATCTTACAGATCTTATTTGGCTATCGACTCAATGTGGGGCCTTGGACAAGTTGCTTCTCTCCTTCTGGACCTTCAGTCTAAAATAAAATGGTTTTGGCACTAGGCAAACAGCCTATACCTATTGCTAGTTTTCTTTGTTTTAATTGTTTTTATAAAAGAGCTTTGAAATTATTGAGATATAATTAACATGCCTACAATTCATCCATTAAAAGTGTAGTATAGAATTTAATTTATTTTAGTATATTCATAGAGTTGTGCAACCATCACTATGATCTAATTTCAGAACATTTTCTTTGTCCCTAGAAGAAAGCATACACCCATTAGCATTAAATTCCCATTTCCCTCCTGTCTCCTTCCCCCTGCCCTAGACAACCCCTCATCTACTGTCTGTCCCTGTAAATACTCTTATTCTGGACATTTCACACAAATGGATTCTTAGAGTACGTGGCCTTTTATGGCTGACTTCTTTCACTTGTATAATGTTTTCAAAGGTCAAACATGTGTAGCATGTATGAGTGCTTTTTATGGCTGCATAGTATTCCTCCATATGGATATACCACACTTTATTTGCTTACTTGTCAGTTGATGGATATTTAAGTTGTCTCTGCTTTTTAGCTGTTTGTATTGAGATACAAATCCTTTATTACATATATGATTTGCAAATATTTTTTCCCATTCCGAGGGTTGCCTTTTTACTTTCTTGATGGTATCATTAGCAGCATAAAAATTTTTGATTTTGATGTAGTCATTTTATATATATTTCTCTTTTGTTACCTAGGTTTTGGTATTGTATCTATGAAACCGTTGCCTAACCTGCGTCATGAAAACTTATTCCTTAGGTTTTCTTATGAGAGTTTTGTAGTATGTTTATGATCCATTTGTTTGTTTTTAATTCAGAGCTGCTGTGAACACTAAGTACCCTTGAAAAAAAAAGGTCAAGAATGGTCCAGCTCCTAGGAGGTCCAAATAATGAGGAAACTGACAACTGAAGTAAGAGCTGAATATTTACTGTTTCAAGGGTTGTAGTGTGATGCCATGCTCCCATTCATGTTTCCATGACTTACACCTCTGCTATGACACATCTTAAGTTTAATTTTGTTTGCTCCCATTGCTGCCACTTTAAGAAACAGTTTCCATATGAAAACCTGAATCTGATAGCTAGTGGGTGTTGAGATAAAGCATGCCCTGTTGTTTTTGAATTATTATATTCTTATGATTTTTTTTTGCCCTTTAGTGTATTTACTACCCAAATCCTAGTCTATTATCATCCTCTAAAAATTGTTTTCAGTTTGTCCTTTTTCACATGGTTGTAAAATGTGCCTTTTTCCAATATCTTTTTTTAATTTTTATTTTAATTGTTGTTCAAGTACAGTTTTCTGTCTTTTACTCCCATCCCAGCCCACGCCTCCAGCCCTCCTCACCTCCTTCCCATTTCCACTCTCCCCTAGTTTTTGTCCATGTGTCCTTTATATTTGTTCCTGTAAACCCTTCTCCTTTTCCCCTGAAATTCCCTCCCTTCTCCCCTCTGGTCACTTAGTTTCTCATTTTTATTATTATGTTCTGGAAGATTTTTTAAAAAGCTTTCATTCTTTTGACAGGGCTTTTGAAAAAAGATTATAATATTTTTCCATATAATTATTCTGCAGTATTTATAGCCCTTAATATATTGTGAACATTTAATACACATTGAATAGCAAAAGATTTATGCTTAATCTTTCAGGTGAGTATCAACTGGATTAGATTTCCTAATTAGCCATTGATATGACCTCACTGGTGCTTACAAATTTAGGTAGCGACTCCCCCTGTCCTCCCAGTAACATGTAAAGCTCTAGTGTTAACCTGAACATGGGAATAACAGACGTAACTATCAGAGACCTTTAGTAATACTTGGGCCCCCTGGTATTAGTGATATCTTGCAAAACGTTAATCTTTACACTTCTTTCTAGGGTTGGCCATGCTCATTATTAAGGCAGCCCTTAGCTTGTCCCCCTCACCTTTAAGGAAGCAATTATCTCTATTGTACTTAAAAAAAACTGTATCGCATGTAGCGATTGTCTTCCTGCCCCCTAGGAAATAATCTGCTGGAATTCAAAATACAATTACCACGCTTGACCACTTTCCTGTATCCTGGAGCTGACCATTATTAATGGCATCCAATTATTCATAGCAATCAAGTAGCCGACCTTGCTAAACTGATCACAGCAGTGGGTATTTGGCAGTTGGGCTGCTGGCTGGGTCCATAATAGAAGGAGACAATGTCATATCCTGGTTGTCTTTAGTGAAAACAGCATGTCACTGCAGACTTACCAGAATTCTATAGTAACTTGATTGTGAGATTTAGCATGTCATTATTTTAAAAGCATTTGTTTAGATGTTCAGGCAGGAGCAGGAAAAAAGTGGATTTAGGTTAGCTTGGCGTTTGAGAATCTCTTTGACTTATCTTACACTGCTGCTAATTAACCAGCATGAGCTTTGGTAAGCCTTTAGGTTTTCTAAGCCTCAATTTCCTCCACTCTAAAATGAGGGCATTTTGCCTGCTTTCAAGGGTGGTTGTGCGGATTAAATGACATGAGAACTATGAAACAGGCAGGCAGGCAGAAGTTGCCCATCCTGGTCAGCGTGCTGTCCTCAGAGTCATTCTGAGCTCCAGCTGCAGCAGGGGTAAAAGCAGAGCACAAAAGCCTTTTTGCTCCTCACTAAAGTGCACAATAGGTTTTGACCATCACATGAATGCTGCTTTCTTTTCTGTTTTTTTTTTTTTTTCATTTCACAAGCATTTTATTAATCAGACAGCCATCAGCTCTCTAGCCCAGAGACATAAGTGCTGCCAAGAGCTTTCTGGAAGCTGGGGGCCTGCTCCCTGTGCCCCCCTTCAGGAATCTGGGTGTGCAGGGCATCCATTGGTGTCTTCTGTTCGAAGTACACGTAACAGGTGGATGCGATCACAGCCACAAACACTATGAACTCGTTGAGGTCCCCCGTGGCGTCATCACTGGCATCCAGGTCCTTGAGCAGTTTGTCCACAGCCTCCTTGTCCCTTCCACTCTGCAGGAAGCCCGGGAGCTCCTTCTCCAACCGCTCCTTCAGCTCCTCCTTGCTCAGGCCCTGCTTGTTGCCATCCGTGCTCTTGAACTGGGGAAAGACCTCAATGACCATAGCCATGGCCATCTCCAGTTGTGACATGGTGCTGGATGCGGGCCCACGTCCCGCCAGGTGGCTGGCGTGGCTGAGGAAACAGCCTGCTTTTTCATTCTGCCTTCTCTACGGGACTACAAGTCAAAGGTTGTCTTTATTGTGGAGTGGTAGGAAAGTGTGATATTTGTTTGCAGTGAAGGGGCCTAAGCATAAAAACTGACATAAATTTCCAGGTGGTTGTCCTTTGACCCTCCAGGGCCTTGACTACATTTTCCCTGTGAGTTGGCATGATTGATAATAGTCCTCATCCAGCTGCAGCAAGGAGCACGTTGTTTGTCTTTGCAAATACATTAATTCTGTCATGTTACGAGGAGGGCAATTTTCACAAGGAACTAACTTTGAGGTTTGGGTCAAGCAATTAGAAGGAGCATGAAGAAATTCACAGTTTATGTTCACTTGAGATTCACGAACATGTCTAATTCAAAGTGACCGCACAAGAATTTCCTCGTCCTTCAACTACCTTGTCACCACGTGAGATGCCTGGTGCGTTTTATCCCAATTCAAAAAAGGAACCCACACATTCATAAGATTATTAGAGTGAAGTAAAGATAAAATATTCACTTTAGAATTTCTTATGTACACTGCTCACCAGTGGTAGGTAAGCAGTGAATTTAATTTGTTATGAACGTTATGAAGCAAAATTTACAAAGAGGAATAGGAACTAAATTTTAGAGGTGACTAATAGTATTAGATTAGCCCCCAGCAAAATTGGGAGTTTTCTGGTAAAAACAGGGCTAGTGAGATAGCCTCCCTTTCTGCAGGTAGACCATATGGATGCAAACAGGCAAAGAAAAGGAGGAGGGATTTTCTGGTGGCTTGGGAGCCTGGTATGTTCAACCTGTAAGTTGAACCGCTCAGAATGTTGCTCTGTCTTTGTACACAGTAAAATTCTGTAATAGTTAAGGGCACAGTCTTAAAACCTAACAGACTGAATTTCAGTTGCTCAGCTTTCTACTTTATTATTGGACTTTGCTTATTTGAGAAATACCATGAGCCGTCAAGGCTCTCAGAGGGCTTCAGTAAAATCATCAATGCAGTGGCATCCTGATGGGAAGTGTAGTGGGTTAACTAGTAGCCCCCAAAAGATATGTCCATGTCTAAATCCCAGAAATTTGTGACTATGACCTCATTTGTAAAACAGGCCTTTGCAGATATAAGTGAATTAATGATCTTGAGATGAGATCGCCCTGGATTAACCCGCTGGACACTCAATTCAATTACAAGTGTTTTATTTTATTTTATTTTTTTAGATTTTTAATTAATTTTTAGAGAGAGAGGAAGGCAAGGAAAAAGAGAGGGAGAAGAACATCAATGTGTGGTTGCTTCTTGCACACCCCTCCACTGGGGACCTGGCCTGCAACCCAGGCATGTGCCCTGACTGGGAATTGAACCAATGACCCTTTGGTTCACAGGCCCACACTCAATCTACTGAGCTACACCAGCCAGGGCATGAGTGTTTTTATAAGAGACAGAAAAGGAAAAGACACAGACACACAGGAGAGGGGGGTGGGTAAAGGTAGAAGTAGGAACTGAAGTGATAGGGCCTCTAGTAGAGCAATGGCAACAGCCTCCAGAACGCAGAAGAGAGAAGGAAAGAAACCTCCCCAGAGGTTCTAGAAAGGAGTGTGGCCCTATCACTGTACCTTGATTTCACACTCCTGGCCTCCACAACTGTGGGAGGAGACATTTCTGTTCTTTCAATCCACTCATTTTGTGGTAATTTGTTACAGCAGCCACAGCAGGTAAAGAAATGAGCACGGTGACTGGTAGCTGGTCAATATTCCATAAATTGCAGTCTTAGTTTTCAAATAAAGTAGCTCTTTTTTTTGGTGGGAGGTAGTGTGCTTTCAGAAAATCCTTATTTAAACCTTTCCTCCCCAGTTCATATAGCCTTGAACCCATTCGTTCATTTGTTCATTTGGTATTAATTAAGCAACTCCCATATGTTAAGACACATAGTGCTAAAATATACTAAATCCTTTAAAAAGAGCACTCTGTGATAGTGAATAGAATATGTATTAACCCCAGCCTCACTGAGTTCACTGTCTAGTGGGAGAGACAGGCAAATAGAAAATAAGTCCTTGCAGTCAGTGCTGTGAAGAAATCTGGTTGGGTTTGTGGATAGAAAAGAAGAGAGAGGATTCAATAGAGTAATCAGGGTGGCAGGCTCCCTGCAGGGAAGGAAAGAAGGAGAAAAGCGGAGAAACTATTATTTAGCAAGTGGCTGAGTCTGAAGAACTGTGGCAGAAGTTTTAGAAAGAAAAACAGAGGTATTTTTGTGGAGGACTTCTGGATTAATACAAAGCCTTGGCTTTGATATTTGACTTTGAATTAGGCATGAGAAGCAGAAGGCATTTGCATTTGCTGGGTGAGATGTTGTTGCTCTGCCTATGAGGCAACAAGGCAATTACTTAGATGTTTCAGAGGTCAGCAAACTTTTTCTATAAAGGGTTAGACAGTAAATATAGCTTGTGGGCTTTATGGTTTTTGTGGCGACATATTTTTTGACTTTTATAACATGTAAGCAGCCATAGACAATGTGTAAACAGATGAGTCTGGTGTGTCCCACACTTCATTTACTAGACACTGAAATTTAAATTTCACCTCATTTTCACAGCTTGAAATATTTTTCTTTATTTCTTTCTGGCAACCATTTAAAAATGGAATAACCATTCTTAGCTTGAGAGCTGTACCAGTGGGATGTATCTGGCCCACAGGTCATAGTCTACCGATCCCTGTTTTAGAGTCCAACCTCTGTTCATACAAGACAGGGAACAATCTTCTGTATCTAGAAATTCTACTATAAGCAGCAGCCAGCAGTAGGAGAGGAGAGTTTTTTAGGGAAGAGAAGACTCCTCAGGAAGCAGTGTGACATCATTGTAGAATGTTCAGTTCTTTCTGGCCTGATAAACATGGGCTTGAGCTTGAATTAAAAATGATTTTTTTTTGCATCAGGAATCAACATTTAATGATGATGTTTTTCCTTGATGTTTCAGCTATAAAACTACAAATTATGCATGAAATTGATGTACATTATTCCATAATGAACTAGTCTGATAGAAAAACACATTAGGTATTTATATTAAAAGCAAGTCATTTATATTAAGACATTTTGAAAAGGAGAATTATGTTCCTGAAAACATGAGTGACTGGAAATTGAGGCCACTCAGTTACAACCAGGAAGATGTAGCAGTGTGTGCCTCCTGTCTGACTGGCATTGCCCAGTTGCCTTAATAAGTAGTGCATTCCTATAACACTGCATTTACAACCTCTGCCACATTTTGGGTCAGCTTTAAGACCGACTTCCTGCTTTCCCAGGTTGTCAATTTGTGGATGAAAATGAAGATTTACATTCATAAAAACTATACATATGAATCTGTCTAGAAAAAGCCCAACCATTGTTAATATAACAGGAATGGTTTGTGTGACATTGATGTAACCTGGCAGCCAAGGAGAGTGGACTGGAATGTGCATGTGTGAACAATGACGACTTCCATGTACTAGTCAGTGGGAGAGGTAGACACTGTTCAGTGAATAGGTATACTCTGTGGCCTTGCAATTCAAAATGACTGAACCAGTAAAGCAACAAATCTGCATCAAATTTTGTGTTAAGCTTGAACATTCCTCCATGGAAACTATTTGGATGATTTAGAAGGCCACAGCTATGGGCAACTGGTGATTGGCAGCTTCATCATGGCAACATACCCACTCATGCATCAGGTCTTATGCAGTTTTTTGGCAAAACATCAAATCACCCAGGTGACTCAGCCCTGCCACAGCCCAGATTTGATGCCCTATGACTTTTTGCTTTTCCCAAAACTAAAATCACCTTTCAAAAGAAAGAGGTTTTAGACTGTCAATGAGATTCAGAAAAATATGATGGGACAGCTGATGGTGACTAGGAGAACTGTGTGAAGTCCCAAAAGTTCCTACTTTGAAGGGGACTGAGGCATCATTGTCCTATGTACAATGTTTCTTGTATCTTGTACATTCAACAAATGCCTCTATTTTTCCTATTACAGGGCAGGAAACTTCCAGACAGATCTTGTACTTAAAAGCTCAATGAGTGTATTTACATCCCAGGGTTGAAACTTAATAATTCTATTCTTTATGGTCCCATCTAACCTATTTTGTCTGTATTTTGCTTGCTGAGATGTGGTTGCTTTGGGTGGGTTATTGGGACTCACTTTTGTGTTACCCTAGATCTAGTTTCTGGCCTGTCATCCTAGGTTCCTTCCTGAAGAAACTGCTTTCTAATCTGATCTCTAGTTCCATGCAAACTATGGTGCTTAATTCTGCACTGTTTATTCTTGTGACCTGTTTTTTTACTGTGTGCTCTGTAGTGACTGCTGAACTTCTCTCTTATCTGTTCTATTAGGACTTGAGGGCACTGATTCAGCCTTTCCTAAATCATTGCTTCTAACTCATTCCCTATCCTGTCAATGCTAATGTCTTGACTCCATCACCACTCCAGCTTGTTTTCTGGTTTTCTGGACTCCTTAACAACCACCTCTCTGTGCCTGGGTCATCGACACCTCTGACTTTGATCCTGGACATCCAAGACTTGCTTAATTATTTCTTATCTCAGTCCAAAACTAGATGTCAACATGAGAAGCCTTTCACATTCAAACAGACATGAAACCAAACCAAACCAAGCCATATGTACTTAAAGCACCATTACATGACTGGCTTAGTGAAAAAAACATCAGGCTGTGTGCCTACATAGTCTCTTATATATTCATGTCATAGCTGACAAGGTTTATTTTGATAGATTTCTGTATCTCAAGCAGAAATGCTTTTTTGTAGAGCTGGATGTATGACACGAGAAAGAACCGTGAGTTATATCCATCAATCCTCTTTGAATTAGGAAGGAATTTGGCTTACCAGTGTCCCTTTTCCTTTGAGATGGCTAATATAATTTCTTTGAAATAGTTCAATTATTTGAAAGAATAATTTTCAGGCACCTTTAATTAATTAATTAATTAATA